GCTGGTAGACAGTACTCGAGAAACGTGCGGAGCGCTAACGGTTAAAAGGTACATGTACCGTATAGTATAATTACTGATGACAAACAGCCGTAGAAACAAACAGGATTAACAAATGCAGTAGAAGATCGTAGAACTAAATTGCTTTTAGAATTATGACAGTTTAAATTATGGGACTGATTGTAAATCATTAACCGTGCTCATATTCCCTCGTTTGTAGGGGAAAGCTGACCAAACTTTGCTACTGAAAGATTATGGGAATTCCCAGGTACCTAACCCATGGGATTTTCCCTGCATAAAAGATCCACGAAGGAAACATGTTTCGCAGAATGTCGATGGTCGAATAACGTAGCCCATACCAACCGGTTTATAACCAAGATTCGTTTATAATCAACGATCGCTTCAACAAAATTGCTTCTGCACGAAAGTAGTGCAAATATATTTGTTCGTGTGATTATTTGCAATGAAAATCACGGACAATTTTAAATATTAACTTGCAGCACTCTTATCGGTGTTTATTTTACACATTATTTCCCAAAATGTCTCACAATCTGGAAATGGTGGTTTCTGAGGTCATTTGAAGTAACTTTTTCCTTTGCGAAAATGCAATTCGAGGCTTTGTTTACGAGTTATTAATGAAAAACGCTGACCAATGAGAGGCGAAATCGAGTGGTGCCTTGTCCCTGCGACCTCTGTCGTTGCATGTGACGCGGCCAGTGCGACGCGGCAAATGCGCAAGGGCAGAACGTCGGTTGCGCTCGCTCTTCGAGCGCGGAATATCATTTCCCGGAAATACCATAATTTTGGGACACCCTGTATTTGTTCGTGTGATTATTTACAACGAAAATCTCGGAAATTTTTAAATATTAACTTCCAGCACTGTTATCAGTATTTGTTTTATGTATAGGAAAGTATGTTTTCATTTGTCGTGAAGATCTTTCTTCGTTCGACAATAGATCTAGAGCAATGTTGTCACATTTTCACGTCACATTAATGTTTGATGCTTTATGAAAAATAAACATTTTATACATCATATGTATAAAAAAAAATTGCGACTCCAATATCACTGTCCGACAAAATCAAACTTTTTTTTCTGATTTCCTATAGCCACTATGAAATTCTTGTAGAGTTTCACTCCCCGAACAAGAATCCGAAAACCGAATTGCTCCATCACCCTCAGTTTTCGAAAAAACGAGCTTTTGAAAAAACCCAAAATTTTCGACAAAAATGAGGTACTGCATGAAAAGTAAAAACGACGTGCACAGTTTCTGCGCAATATTTTTGTACTTTTACGAAAAGTTGTTTGTCCTGCACAAAAACTCTACTCAGGATCGGATTCTGTAGACATTTCTGAAGAAGAAACGGCCCGGTGAAAGTGTCGGAACGATATACATTTCGAGTAGATCGAGAAAATGTTCGACGGCAACATGTACACGACGCTAGAAAATTCTAATCGGTCTCAAAAGATAGAGGAAAGTTTTCCGAATATAATTGCATACAATTTATTAATTGTTTTTGGTCCTAAATAACTATAAATTAATGTCAAAGTTTAAAAAAGTGTCGACGTGCGCAGTTTCTCCGCAATATTTTTGTATTTTTAC